AGGCGTGGTGTCAAATAATGTATTTATCATGTTTGTTGCATAACTTTTGCGTTCCGTAACAGGCATATTTGATAGAGCTGTTTCATTGCCTTTATGTTTAATTTGAATGGAAAATCTAGCTTTGGTAGCTGGATTTTCCCAATAAGGAAATATCCATTTATTGGGAATACGCGTTAAAATCAGAAATCTATATAATGAAACCAAATTGTACAGTGTTAACTTATTACTGTAGGAAACTATAATACGTTGGATCAAATATTGACTTATTAGTAAATTTATATTACTGTTATTAACACATAACAAATGTAATATTAATAGATTACAATTCTACTTAGGAAAAAAAGATAGTGATAACTAGTATCAGGAGTATGTATTATTTTTAAATTTATTTTAGTGTAGTGATATTACATGTATTATGTAGTAATAGACTTAGAAAATGTACTATATAGAGTAACAATTAGTTCTATATATATTAAAACAATGTATGTTGCAACAGTAAATAGTATAAATATCTGGTGTATAATATTTTGATGATGTTCTGTAGAAATAGATGTAGTTTTTTCTAATTGAATTGTACATATACCGATTTTAGCATTATAGAAATGTTAGTATGTAACAAAATTTTAATTTGCTTACTCTTTCATTTTGGTTTTGTTGTTGTATGTGAAAACAGTCGCAACATCTTCTAACTTACACTTATGTATAAACCATATCATGTATATTCCAGATTGTATAGGTAGATTTGCAGTTCTAATAAAACATGTACTGCTTGTGCAAATTTGTTTGTTGAAAGTAATATTCACATATTTTACTCCACTTTTAGTATTACGTGACTGTAAGGTAGTAATTTTCCAACGTGTAGTATTAGTCATGTTGTAAGGAAATACTTGTTGGACTTGTATTTCTTGTGTATTACAATAATGTCCAATTTGTAGACTTAAAGATTGCAGTTTACATGACACGTTTAGGTAAACAGTAGAATAGGCAATAAGAGAGATGTTTTGTATTTCTAAGATAATAGTATAGTTTATCGGTTGTATACACTGCGATGTCTGAGAAAAATTTTCGTTCGAAGTAGAAGCAATTCTGGTGATACATATTAAGCATATTGTTCCGAAAAATATAAGCATCTGCATAATGCGGATCTACAAAAGGAATTAGTTTGTTAAACCAAAAATACATATGCACATTACAACAAAATTATTAGACGCAAATTTATTATAAAACAAACGTTTGTAATATTAAATACAAAAGCAATTACAGATGTGTGATCGTTCCGAGTACGATCACCAGTAATCTTCAATGTTCTCTATTTCTATCACACATAAACACACAATATGTATATCGAGTGGTTTTACGAATCCGAGATACGAAAACTGATTAAAACACCAGAGTACAGATTTATTATATATTGTTCTCAACAATATTTGATATGTTTTCAACAAACCGAAATTTGAGAAAAGTATTTAATTTGTTGGCAGCGCGTTGGAAATTGCAAATTGTATTTTGACATGGAAGAAACCTTCTTAATAAATGTTATGACTTAAGTATGTACTATTTCTTATATTTTAAAGATACTAAAATTCAAATTTCTACGATTTGAAAGTTTGCTTCTTTATTACAAATTTATTTTATAATACAAAACGCTTGTGAAATAATATAAATCCGTGTACCAATAGTCACTGTCGGATATTTGCGTACGGTTAGAAGAAGTTATATTTTATACCACTGTAAATGTTCAACAACTAGATGGATACAAAGAAATAAGAACTTACCATTGTTTATGTAGTGATATCCAAGTCATTAANATATAAATGTTGGAAGAAACACTATTGCAAAGTTAGAGAACAACGAGATCAAAAACGTTTTGCTTGCGCGATCTTACCTCTTCGAGATATTCTCGATAACTAAGAGACGATCGTTTCTGTGGAACGATATCTACGTGCCACGAAGTAAACATCTGTGTTTGAGAAAACGACCTTATTTTTGTTCTTTATTATATACATATAGTATGATAGAAATTGTGGTTTTACATGTGTCTTTTTCACGGTTGAATATGAGAATATAATTTCACATACAAAATGTGTTATTTAATAATTAGATTGTTGAAGACGGAATCTACATTTGTGAAATAATGTATTTTCAAGGACTAATTTGAAATATACTTTAAATGTGATATTGTTCTAGTGATAAGAATTCAAAGTATTTGGTTGCGGGAAAAATGCGGAATTCGGAACTGCATTCAGAATTTTTACAATCTAGATTTTAGGTATTTAGATTCGCGTAAACGTATGCGGTGACTTGCGTAATGTCACGCTCATTGCGAGCATTTACTTTGTATATATTTAATTCAACGACTGTTTTAAGAAATAAATTTTTAATAAATTCTAGTATTACTTATGTAAATTGTATACAATTTACTATGTTTTTTAAGGAAAATAGCGCTCAACGTTTATCATTTATTTTCTATTTTATTATTTGACATTCATGTATCATTTAATTATTATTTATTTTCCACTTTATATCTCTTACGTAGAGTTTACGTTTTCGACATAATGAATCTATTTACCGATATTCTTTGTGTCTTATTAGCATACAATTTGTTCATTGAGAAAAAAGACTTGCAGAATATAACAATCATATTAATCGATTGGCCGATTTGATTACTGCTATTCTTCACTTTTACAAGATCTGCGAGTTTGTGTTTGGTACACATGCGAGAAAATAATTATTGACACGTTTTATGAGACGACGAGGTGCGAGCACCGCAGCCGCGAGAAACAAATGTTCTAGCGCAAGAACATACCGGTCACGGATAAAAAGTATAATCTCTTTGTCCAGTGTGTGTGCGCTGTTATGCATCGGCAGTATATATATTAGATCTTCGTTAGATTTTTAGAGCTGTTTGGTCACTCTAAAGTTCTGGTAACTTGTAAGATTACGGTACGTTATATTACTTGTTTAAAATACAGATGTTATCAAAACGCGACTACCGCTAAAAGAATAAAATAATCGCGCGATTGGAAAGTTGCTTGATCATATACCAAGTAGAGTTTTTGTTGCTGTGAGCAATAAGTCGCGTGAACTTGGAAATTGTACGGCTGCTTTAAATTGGTAAAAGATTATTTTTGAACGACTCAGCTGACTACGATCAGCTGTTGACAAGGTCGTACACAAGGCTGTTTACTTATTTTTGCGAGCGATACGAAGTTGTGTGAACTATCATGTGTGTGACGCATAGAATTCGGCCAAGACTTACAAGACAGGCATTTCAAACGACGTGTGATTCGGCATAGCGCGCCGAAAACTTTGTACATAAAAACTATATCATCAATATATTGAAGTCTTACGAGCACACCTGTCGTTCATAGAAATTTAAAGTGTCTTTTATCGGAAATCCGTATTTGCCTGTCACTTGTCGAAATTCTTACTTATTTTTTTATTGAAACTAAAAAACGAAATTATTTAGTTATCGCGATTAACAAATTTGTACATATTTCCGATTTTTCTATCTTTGTACTCTGAATCAATTTGATATCACTTGCGTTACATTGTCTTAGTATTTGAACACATTTGTGAAAGATTGCGGACATCTTGTTATTTTTTCTATATTTAGATAAAGTTTATTCTCTTGTTACTCTTTGTTTTTTTTTCTTTTTGATATTTTCGTTATTTGTTTTTTTTTACTATTGTTTAAAGTGTATGAATTACTCTCAAGTGGTTACTAAGAAATTTATTTGGCTACCTTATTTTGTCCACAACTGTTGTATTATCAAAATCTTGAAGTAAACTCGTTACTTTTTGTTAGATTGGGCCATATATTAAGTTTGTTAGATTGAGCTCTATTTTAAGGTATGTATGATATATAAGAGTAATATGGTATATACTAAAATAAACAAATTAAAGAGAAGTTGCCTTATATATATTACCAGCATGATTACGCACAACAGCACATACATTTTAAATTAGTGTATATAAGTCTGAATGAATTGCTCGATTGTACAAGTAAAGCAAATTGAATAGCTTAGAACAAGAAGAACAGTATGTCACAAGAAGCAAGTTGCACAGTTATATCGAATATCGTATAACCTATTACATAATGATTGAAAACTATAACTGTACCATGTAACTGCATACATAAACCTGCATCATCAGTTTTTATTTCTATGGTTTATTTGCATCTTAAACATAAAGTGGTTTTGGTTGTAGATTCTTGTGTTATTTTTTTATGCTCACAATAAAGTATCGCATATACATAGTGTGGATCTTTGTTCCGAGTTTGGAAATTTTAGGTATTTTTTTTCTAAATAATCAATTTTTTTAATGAAACAACATTGTAGTAATTACACTTGCCACACTATGGAAGAACGAGGCTTTGATTAATTCTTTTATGTCTTACGCGTTATGCATTTTGCAAAAGTTTGTAGCTTGCTTTTAAAAGAGTAAAACTTGTTGTAAACTAAATTACACTATGTAAAAACCTAAAGAAACGTTAGAAAATAATAATAAAAGGTACTTGCAAATATTAATTTTATTCTAAATATTACTAATACGTGGCTTTATACAGTACAAACATCATAATACACTATAACTTAACGTTTACTATTTTATAAATACAATAATTTAAGTATCATATATCTTTTTATAACATTGTATGTATAGCATTATATAAATTTTTTTTTTCATTTCAGAGACATTAACGTAAATATTATAAGTTTCTTAAACGTGTGATTTGTATAGTGACATATATGTATATATGTATATTTCTATGCCATACATAAATTATACCTATATGCACTAGCTCGTCATAAAAATAGTACATTTTAAAAAAGAAACGAATTTATTTTATGATTAACAACGTGCATATTAGTCAATGTTAATCTTCCAAAAGTGTATTTTGGAAGTTAATCATAAACAAAAAATAATTTTGATATCATAAAATAAAACGTTTTTAAACACGAGAAATACAAAGTTGATCACAACGACTTAATAACGTTTTAGCTAAATTTTTTGTTTCATTATAAAAAGTTCAGTATTATAAACAGAGAACTTATGTGCAGCTAACGTATAGAAATGATGAGGTGTGTTTGTAATTAAAAACATAATAGGGTATACACTGAATTGTATTTTTTGCGCTATATAAAAAACTACGACGATTTCTAACTTTTGTTTTAATTGCGTCGAGAATAAATGGTTCCTGAAACACATTACAAAATATAATTATAATTAAATTTTGTATATTTGTGTATAAAGTTTAGAAGAAGTACGAGATATACTTTAAATAGAAATATTAGAAACTTAATACTTTACATCGTCACTTCCTAGGTATAATTACATAAGTGTCACACGGGATTTTCAGGTTATTGCATAGTGACACTTAGAAAATCATGTTCTTTATGGTCACCAAATAGTAAAGAAAACTATTCATAAGTAAAATAAAAATTTAAAACTGAAAGATTTTTTAGTTAGGAAAACTATATGAAGCCATAAACTTTTAAACTGCTTTTCTCTAAAATTTGCGTTGTGGAGTTACGGGAGTATACATAGGGAGTGACGACATATAAACAGTAAGTTATATCTAAACAAAAACAGAAAAAGTAACGCACAGTTCGAAAAACTAGTAAAATAGTATTGAAAATAATCTATACATACATTTAAAGTGTGATGTTTATGCAGCAGTGTATTCAAGAACAATATTGTATTTTTGTTAGTAATCTGAAAAAATTCATGTAAACTTTTCACTTAGTGTGATTTCCTTACATTGTGTAACATTCTTTAATATTGGGAAGTTATTTTTGTGTTTTAACTAAGGAAGTTACAAATCTAGACTACAATTTAACTGTCTACACATTTATAAATATAAAATACATATAAATACATATAAAAATGTAAAAATTTAAGAATTCTGTTTTACATATATAACTACAAAAAGTAAATAAGTTCATTTAACATACCATCGACAGGCCTTCGTCTGAATATATGTTGTTAATAACACAATTTATTATTGCTAGTATGTTCACTTTCCTATAAAAACGAATAAAAAATATACAATTAGGATGTGAAATTATTCTTATACATTATACAATGTAACATGAGACAACAATGTCTGTTCGGAGAAGAAAGTTAATATGAGAAATATGCAGAATATGTAGAATACATATTCGCGTATACTGCATAATTCTTGTATACAACAATTCTTATATAGAACACAATCATCTTACTTTTCTATTTCACTTTTTAGTCCTAATAGTATAAACTCCAGCGTTGTATCATTTTTTGAATGGATAGATAGAAGAGTGAAAAGTACAATAACACTTTGGGTAGCGTTTAATTTACTTGTCAATGGTAGCAAAGAATCACCATCAAGAAACACGAAATAGTTATACAGTTTTTCGTACTGTCTAGAGCAAGGTAAAAGTTCAAAGAATTCTTCTTTATTTGGTTGGGTTTGGTATATGTTGAATATTGTTTGCCACAAAGCAGACGTAGTAGAAGTTTCGAACATTAATCCTTGGCAGTATATCCATTTCTGCCAACTTGGCAACAGCCTGCACAAACAAAACATTATGGCTATGAAATATAAATAAGCTTTTAATTAAAGACTAATTAATTGCTGTTTTAGCCATTTTCTTTTTAATCTACTAAATTATTGCATGTCAAAGTCGCAATTGTATGATATAACAATTTCGTAGCAAAATGAAATTTTACGGAGTCCAACGGACGACAACTTGCTAGTGAGAAAATAGAATGATGTACTTGTTTTGTGCAGGATATTTAACATGCCAGTTTAGTATTGCAGTAACATGATCTTTGCACTTTAAACCACCAAGAATGCATGTCCATTTTAGAACTTCATGATACAATTGAGTATTGTTATCATGTATTTGAAAATATGTACGCATCATGCCAGCAAGAACGTTATTCAACATTTTCAGGAGTTTATTCTGTAAAAGCGGTAGGTGTTATGTTGTAACAAAGTGTTACTTCTCAAGTATCCTTATGTTATAAATATGTAAACATGTCTTTGTGTTACTTAGTGTTCTATAGTCAAGGAAGAGTCTCTTTTAATAGTTTTCACATGAGAATTTATACCAAATTTTCCTATTTTTTTTTAATTATATGTGTAAAATGGAAAAAATTCACAAATTTTTTTTTTAATATGTATATGTATTGCTTCTATTTTAAAAAAATCTTTTTTTAAAACACAAACTAACTACAACTGTTTTGTAATTCATATTTGTATACATTTACTATGGTTACCTTACTACCTTTTTTTAGCATCTAGTTGACGATGTGTTTGCACTTATTTACTTTCTTAATATACTACTTGTTACATTTATTATTTACCTTGATATTTTTCGAAAGATCACTTTCTGGGAACGGCAACATTTTTGACATTTTTTCAAGAGCAATAAATATAGGATACCACGCTGTGTAGGAATTGTTTCCATTAAATATACTGCTTGCAAGTTCAAGATATGTGTCTAGGTTACTATATTCTGGAAAAACACTTTCGTTATACTCTGTATTTTGTAGCAAAAAATAAAAGGCATCGTCGAGCAGTTGTGCTAAAGTGACGTCAGACAAATTTGCGATTTTAGATCCTTTGTTTTTTAGGAAAAGAGCAATGTGTTTCCAAGATTGAAGGTCATAGTTAACGCGATATCCTACGACAAAAAACTGTTTAGAGAATAACAGAGGAAAAGAAGTGAAACAATGTAATAGAAATATTTAGTGTTTTAAACTATCGAAAAATTTTATTATACTATAAAAAACAAAAAAATCATAATCCAAGGTTTACGTGGATATCGTACTATATTACCTGGGTGATCTTCGACAATAACAAACTCATTTGTATTACGAAGAAATATATCAAATCTTCTTCTGTCTGGTTTTAGAACATGGCGATGGATGGAAACACTTGTGTTTAGTATTTGTTTATAGGTCACAGGTATCCACCATTTTCGGTTGCACGGCTTAGTGTGATCTACGTCAAAACAATCTATAAGTGTTTCCACCAGATATGTACTATTCCGTTTTATGTGTACTACAGGATAACCAATTTCTGCTGTCCATGAAGATATTATATTCTTGATTTCTGTCGAGTTCATGAATAGAAACGTATATAAGGACATCGTCTCAAAATTCTTACGCCGTAACGTATTACGAATTGAGAATTTTTTGTATGTGTTGTTTGATTTCTTTTTCCTGACAAATAAAATACATTTGTAATATAAAGGATAGCGGTATGCTTGCGTGAATCTCAGAAAGAATATTTAATGATTGTTATATACTGTTAAGATATACTGACTTTTCAAATATATGCTGTGACGGACATTTAAATAAAAACTGTCAAAATACTTTGTATTTCAATAAGTTAAACATACTCACGTGTTATGATATAGGTTTACGGCTCCAGTAAATAAAGAAGTATATAGAGAATCTTGTACAATTACAGTATTAGCAGTAAGCATATAGAAGATACCGAATGCTACAACATAAGTCGTACTGTTCAGATTTTATTGGACAACTTTATTAGAAAAAATAAGTTTAGTAAGTAGGAAATACTACGTATGGAAAATACAGCTAAATTAATTTTAACACACATAGAAGTTTATATTTAATATTGTTATGTATATATTCTGCATTTAGTTAGATTTTATATTTTTCATCTGTAATTCTTTTTTCTTTTATAATTTATACTATAATTTACTACTATTTACATTCTTTGACATACATATGCACATATCAGTGTCACTACTTTCTATAAAATGATATTTCTTGTTTCGTATTTCAACAAATACAATTTACTGTACTTATACTGTCATTTACTATTCCTTATAACATTCTGTAGTTTGAAACTTGTTAGTCGATTTTGTTTTTATCATATTTGCAACTACATTAGATATAAAATTACAAACTTACAATAAATCAAAAGCGCAAAGTTTTAAGTACAATTATCAAAATAGCTTTTTTTTGTATTAACTTTTGGAATATATGTCGCAATAGAACACCTCATATTTTAGTCACGTTATAAAGATGGAACGATGATCGAACTCCAAAATTATTCAGTTACAATAAACATAGTAACGATAATGAGTAGATGCAAATTTTTTACAGTATCCATAACATTTGGTTTTACAATATGTATAAGATATATAGCAAGATCTCATAATTTTTGGCTTATCATGTTCTTTTAGACATGGAGTTAAAAACTTAGGATTGCTTATTACAGTTATTTGGTTTTTACCTTTTTCTCTCCATAATTTAGCAAGTGTTGAATTTTGTAATATGTCTGAGTTTTCTTGAATCGGAGGATCATATCTAACTATTTCAATATAATCAAGAACTGTCCGTCGCGTTTGAACCACAATCGAGTTTAGTAAAGATGTATTGTAATACTACCAACAAGTAATGTAAGATAAAGGTGATGGTTAGACAAATACTTAACCTAATTTGCTAGTATGTAAGTATTATATTAGAGTGTACTAAATGTTTCCTAATATAGCTGTTGGTGATATTCTTGACAAAAAAGATAAATGACAACACTGTACATTATTAGTAGCAAAGTAATCAAAAAAGTATATGCACGTTATTCTGTACACTCAAACATCGTATATATTTATATACTTTAACACTTCTATGTCATACTGCGTAGTTTTTCCGTAAAAGTAAAAAATGACTGTATTACTATTACTCGTTCTATACTATTACTAATAATATCACTGTTTCTTATTTATTTTTTGTATATAAGAAAAAGTTTAAATGGAACTTACGTAAGAATAATTTTACCTGATCGCGAAAATAAACTCCGTATACTGTTAAAAATCCTTCGATAAACCAAGAATCAGACTGTTTAAACATAAGTAACCAATCGCTAAACATTTCTTGTAGCACATTACGTACTATCATACATGTTACTTCTCTTTCTCTTATAATAGAATCTACTTGTTTGTCGTATATAATGTTATCTTCACTAAAAATAAACATAAATGGTTCTGCAAGTATATATTTTTTTTTTATTACAGATTTAGAGATCTTACAAGCTCCTTTGTATATTTTCAGTTATGCACATCTTACCTGAACAAAACAAGTCCAGTAGTTACAATACTTTTGTAGTAACTAAAGTTTACTGGAAGTATTAAGTACATAGTATGATGTTCCCTTGGGAGGATATGCAGTCGCATAATTTTGCTAATATCTGTAATAAGAGATTGTGCATATGACGTGCCATTTATCGCTTGATTTTTATTTTTAATAAGACCTTCGCCCGATAATATAATGCTGTCATCATTTGGTACAACAACCACTGCTACCAAATGCGTGGATATTAAAGGTGTGGTGTTAAATAATGTATTTATCATGTTTGTTCCATAATTTTTGCGTTCCGTAACAGGCATATTTGATAGAGCTGTTTCATTGTTTTTATGTTTAATTTGAATGGTAAATTTAGCTTTGGTAGCTGGATTTTCCCAATAAGGAAATATCCATTTACTGGGAATACGCGGTAAAAGTAGAAATCTATATAATACAAACAAAATATTACGATAATACTTTATTACAATAGGTAACTTTATTAAGTTGGGTCAAATATTGACTTATTAATAAAAATATATATTACTCTTATCTTTACACATAACAAATGTAGTTCTAATAAATTATATTTGTATTTAGTAAAATAAGACGCTAGTTATTATCAGGAATATGTATTATTTTTAAATTTATTTTAGTGTAATGATTGTAAATGTATTATGTAGTAAAAGACTTAAAAAATGTACTATACAGAGTAACAAAAAAAATTAGTAGTTTTATATTGTATTAAACCATTGTATGTTGCAACAGTAAAAAGTATAAAAAACTGGTGAATAATATTTTGATGATGTTCTGTTGAAATAGATGTTGTCTTTTCTCATTAAATTGTACATACACCGACTTTAACAGTATGAAAATGGTATCATGTAGTAAAGTTTTATTCACTTACTCTTTCATTTTGGCTTCGTTCCTGTATGTGAAAACAGTCGCAACTTCTTCTAACTTACACTTGTGTATTACCCATATCATGTATATTCCAGATTGTATACGTAGTTTTTCAGTTGTTCTAAGAGAACATTTATGGCCTGTGCACTTTTGTTTGATGAGATTAATTTCCACATATTTTAATTGACGAGTAGTACTATGTGACTGTAATGTAGTAGCTTCCCAAAGTGTAGAATTAGGCGTGGTATACGGAAATGTTTTTTCGATTTTTATTTCATGTATATTACAATAATAACCAATTTGTAGTCTTATAGACTGCTGTTCACATGACACGTTTAGGAAGACAGTAGAATAGACAATAAGAATGTCGTTTTCTATGCTTAAGAAAATATCATAGTGTCTCGGATGTATACATTGTGATGTCTGAGACAAATTTTCATCTGAACTAGAAGCAATTCCGTTGATACATATGAGGTATATTGTTCCGAAAAATATAAGCATCTGCATAATGCGTATCTACAAAATGAGTTTGTTTGTTAAACCAGAAATAGATATGCACATTAAAACAAAATTAATATACGCAAATTTATTAGAAAACAAACGTTTGTAATATTAAATACAAAAGCAATTACAGATGTGTGACCGTTACGAGTACGATCATTAGTAATTTACAATGTTCTTTATTTTTATCACACATAAACACACAATATGTATATCGAGTGGTTTTACGAATTCGAGATACGAAAAAACGATTAAAACACCAAAGTACAGATTTATTGTATGTTACATGTTCTCAACAATATTTGATATGTTTTCAACAAAACTACATTTGAGAAAAGTGTTTAATTTGTTGGTAGCGCGTTGGAAATTGCAAATTGTGTATTGTGACATTGAAGAAACCTTCTTAATAAATGTTATGACTTAAGTATGTACTATTTATCATATTCTACAGATACTAAAATTCAAAGTTCTTCGATTTGGAAGTTTGCTTCTTTATTACAAAACTATTTTATAGTACAAAACGCTTGTGAGATAATAATTTTATGTACCGAGAGTTATTGTCGGATATTTGCGTACGGTTAGAAGAAAGTATATTTTATAACAATTGTAAATTTTCAATAAAGACGAATACAAAGAAATAAGAACTTACCAATTTTTCTATACAGTGATATCCAATTCATTAAGGTATAAATGTTGCAAGAAACACTATTTTAAAGTTGTAGCACAACGAGATCGAAAACGTTTCGCTTGCGCGATCTTACTTCTTCGAGATATTTTCGATAACTAAGAGACGATCGTTTCTCTGTGGAACGATATCTACGTGCCACGAAGTAAACATCTGTGTTTGAGAAAACGACCTTATTTTTGTTCTTTATTATATACATATAGTATGACAGAACTTTTGGTTTTACATGTGTCTTTTTCACGGTTGAATATAAGAATATAATTTCACATACAGACTGTGTTATTTAATAATTAGATTGTTGAGGTCGGAATCTACATTTGTGAAATAATGTATTTACAAGACTTAGTTTGAAATATACTTTAAATGTGACATTGTTCTACTGATAGAAATTCATAGGATTTGGTTGCAGAAAAAATGCGGACTTCGGTACTGCATTCAGAAGTTTTACAATCTAGATTTTAGTTACATAGGTTGGCGTAAACGTATGCGGTGACTTGCACAACGTCACTCTCGTTGCGAGCGGTGTATTTTTAAGTAGCTTTTTTGTGTCTTCTTGATACGTGTCTGTAATATTGCAAGTACGCATTCAAAATGTACTGTGTACGATTTATATTCATATAATATATATACACATATATAATGTAAATTTTAATAAAGCTGAAGATAGCCTGGAGAGTTAACCCGGAACCGTCGAAATGCAGAGTAACAGCGATCAATATAAAAAAAAAAACTAAGTGTACAGATTTCTAAGCATTTAAAAGTGTTTCTAGTGTGTGTGTGTGCACGTAAACACACTTGCAGTCTCCAAACGTATTGAATATCTGTAAAGAACTAAACAAATAATATGAATATTTAATAACTTAGAAAATAAAAAAAAAAGGATAAGACTTATGCTGTCACACTTAATATCCGATGAAGCGCTTCAAGCTTTCTACAAAATGAATATCAACTGTGTTCCTAACTTTATCAAGATTATTCGTGCAAACTTGTAGCCGCTTGTGTTTGTAGCCTAACGACCAATAAACAAGTGTTTATTATCTCGCGAGCGGAATAGCGCCTTTTATAAAATTTATAATATTTACTTTAACAATGAAGCTATTTGTTCTTCCTAAAATGTAACATGCAGTGCATTCTTCCCAATGAATATTTATGCAACTTCTTAGTTACGCAACTTTCTTATTTGTCTGCTTTAACGAGCGATAAACAATTGATCAACGTTCCACGAGCGGTTTTTATAGTGTTTAGAATTTTTTACCCAGTGAAGTTGTTTGTGCTACACACAAGCGGTTAAAAATTTATACCTGCTCTGTATGTGCTATTATACATACATAGTTCGGCTTATTTCAAACACATTGCGTTAATTACCGATTTAATACATTATATTTTAATATGAAATAAAACGCGTGCGCGCACACTGTAAATGCGATATTGTTACGTATCTAAAATGTATTTGCAATGAAAGATGCTGTGCGAGTATTTATAATTACTTATAATTACTTTATCTTGGTTTTAATTATAGTTTATTCAAAACTAACTGTGTGTAGGTGTTAGCTTTAAAAGCCGTGACTATCCCGTAATGATTGGTCCACATAAGGGGTTGTCACCCTATCCCTCGCCGCGTCTACTAACGCGACGAGATTTTATCCAAATGCTATTCATGAAGCAGCAACCGGATAAAGCGACAGACGTTTCTATTATCACGGGAAATTACTGATAACACTCTTCCCCTACGATTTTTTTTTATCTACATTCCTTCATCGTCTTCTCTTCCGCAAAGAATGTCATTAAGATATCCGCTTTGATAAGTTCAAAGAAAGCCGATAAGGGAGGTTTCTTACCTCAGCAATTTTTTATAGATTGAGTAGATACATGGCTAATAATTAATGTTAAGTACTTTTTATATTGAGAAATTGGCACATAGTCGATACGCAGCTGCGTGAAAGGAAATTTTATGAAAGAAAAGAATCACACAATAGTGTGTCTCGAGTTTTTTAATTTATGCGTCACGATTTTTCAAAAGCGATTCTTCAACAAATAATTTTAATATTTACAATTTTTAGAATTGCACACGCACCAGAGTGTGATATTTTGATCATATCACGGTGTTGACAATTTATTCGCCCCTCACGTTTCGCCGCCATGTCGAATATAAGAGCGGTGTTGCGCCGCAACCGTAAAGCTCTTCTGTAGATGTAAGAGCTTGTCTCGCGGAATTCATGTGACCGCATCGGCACGAGACACATCACAATATGGTGCGATCATACACCAACCCCGTAGCCGAATGTAATTAGTTTTCGGCCCCGCGGCTATGATACGCGCGAGGGGGGGATTGTCGTGTATAGGCGCTTGAAGCAGTCCCATATACTATATATATATGTACACATGCAAGCGTTGCTTTTCGTACTCGGCACAGGGGTGGGCGTCTGCAAGCCTAGGGATGAGTTTAGTTTGCCCCAGGCACCCTCAGCAAGTGCATCTATTGTCCGAGTGCAGATACCCGAAAATAAGCTTACCGTTCGAGATGTGATTTTCTTCCGAGAACTCGTCGCGTACGAAAAAAGATTTTTAAGCTTGTGTGTATAATTGCGGTATAGTGAAAAAAATCTCAAACGTGCGATAATAATTCATTGTGGATGCGGTGAGTGCAAAGTTTTAGAAAAAAATTGAATAAATAGAATGAAAATGAGACAAAGTGCGACACAGAGTAACGTGAAAAAAAAAAAAATGAATTTAAAGAGAACGTGTAGTGAATAAGATAACTCATTTATCAAATTATACATCAGTCTGAAACGTTCACTCGCTCAAAAGATTGTTTTTATTGTGAATATTAATAATTCAAAAATAAAAATTGATCGCGAGCGAATGTCCAATCGATGTCGGGATTAAGGAAGAATTATTTACGTGATGTTGTCGAAGAGGAGGACCTTCCACGTGGATTGGGACTCTCCCAGTCACGAGACCGGTACGGTGAAGCGACGCCCGGCGTCGCTAAGTGCCACTTTCCCGGCGAACAATTGCTTCGAGAACGTCGAGTATTACGAGCTTCGAGGTTGCGATGGCGGTTACGGTCTGAGGCGTTTGATATCGACGTCAGAATCAGGATACGGAGATAAAACCGCGGGGAAAGGTGATATCTTTGAAACGAAGGATAATGAAAAGTCGGAATATTCTCGATCGATACATCAAGGATCTTCAAAGGGCTTTGAAATTGAAGAATGTAGTAAAGGTCTACGGCATTCCTCTGCGAATGATCGTAAATATCACGAGAGGAAGATCGGAGAAGCTGATAAGAAATTCGAAGACGTCGATTGTGTTTCTTTGCAAGATTTATTCAGTAAAAAAATAGAGGCGAAGAAAGATTTCGACTTGGAGTTACACCGCGAGCCGTGGAAATCCACTGCTTGTCGAGTGACCAAGATCAATCGGTCCGTGTCCTTGAGATTCAGAAGTTTAATTCCTAGACCGAAAGCGACAAGATCTCGCAGGGCACGCGGCTTCGCGAGTTCGAGCTCGGAAAGCTCGGGATTCGGCTCGCCATTGTCGCCGTTATCGCCGCAGCAAGATACGTCAATCTGCAGGAACAGTCCGAAGGACACTATCAAGGCCAGCGATAGCAAGAGTTCTGGTTTGGGTTCACCAGGATCGCCGGATTCGCCTCTGTCGCCGGAAAGTCAGAAATACTCGGCTTTTCATCTTATTCAATTGCAGCTGGAGAAGCTGCGAAAGTGTCCTTGCGAGAAACGTCAAGCCGAGGTATATATTTTCGGCAAATTCGAAATTTTTCAGAAACTCACTCTCTCGTAACATGCTTTTGGATTGTCGGAAAAGTTTTTTTAAACCTTTTTTTTTTTAGTTTTAATCGAGATCGCTTTAGTTTATATTATTGTCATAATAAAATCAAATCAAATAAACCTCATTCTGATGAACCTTTTGCCATCACGTGAGTATTATTCCCCGTCGGTGGTAGAATTTCTTCGGCTTCGCTACACGTTATTTAAAACAAATTTACAACTTTTCCGACAATCTAATATAACAAATTTTAAAGCTCGTGATAATGTTCAACTAAAATATTTAAGATACGATACGAGCCAATAAATATGCCGGATGTACGTGCAAATATATTTGTTTTTTATGTTTGTATGTAAATTAATACACATAGAAAAATTCAAATTAAATCATATAAGATGCTTAGTTTGCATTCTACATGTTAAATATTCAATTTATTTTCCAATGAAATTTTTAAAATTTTCACTGCGATAAAGACACTTTGGCTAGAAAAAGTCAAACCCTGCATTTTGTACAGAATTCTGCAGCTACATTTGATATATTAGCTCGTATCGATTTTAAATACTTAAATGAACCCAATATATAATTTTCTAAATATTTCTTCAAGTAATCTAAATATTTTCAAAATTTACGTTACTTAAAAACATATAATTTTTCGATTATTTTGCTGAATTTTCAAAACATCTTATGATTACATTTTCAAGCATTCCCATAGAAGAAGTAGAGACACGTTGAAAGGACTATAAATCTTATGAGTCACGAATTGTTCGTAGGGCGCCTTGCGCGGACGAATTCCCCCGAGTGCGCAAGCACGTGGTACGAAGGAATTACGTTCACCCTCCGTTGCGTACGGAGGCATGCGCGCGTGGCGACCCGCGTGGCGCTCATTCATAAGGGCGCCTCCTCGACCGAACTCGTATCTCGCGCGTCTCGCGTTACGCTTGTTGTTGATTTTTCCTTCCGCAAACACACGTGGCTATATTACACTTGAATCGCCAATCTAATAAAGTTATATTGGAACAAATTTAATACAATTACGAAAATCGCGAGAAAAGTCGTGATAGAATTAAAATGAGAAATGTTTTTTTTTTCCGTTGTTTTTTTTATGTACGATGTCGTAGGAAATATCAATATTTACATATCGGAGGTAATTTTACAAACGCGTATAAAGTTTGTAAGATTATATTACAAAAATATTATTAAAGAGTTTTAATTTTTACAATTCAACGAACATTGATATGCAATATGTAACACGTTATTACAAAAAAAAAAAAACTAAATAATGGAAGG